CGTACACTTGTGCACTATATCTATGTATCTCCTGCGCAGTTGGCTAGTCTCAATGAAATTAGCCGCCGGAGCCGGAATCGGTCAGGAGAACATTATAATAGCACCATCTCGTAAATGTTTGTGGTACTTGCATTGTCGCCACTAGACGACCTACTGTACGAGCGCCTAAGGCGAGAGAAGCTCGCTTCTCAGGCTACTATATACATAAATAAAAAATAAAAATTAAAATATTTGACCTCCTTTACGAACTCTGTTAATAAACTGAACTCTCCATGTTTAAGGTTCCAGATATCAAAAATAAAAAAACGAAACCCTTTATAGCATTAATTATATATGTGTCTGTCTGTCACACTCTATTATTTGTACTATTGTATATTACATAAATGATTAATAATATCGAGGGTTAATTTTAGTTAATTTTCTTCTGCAACTTCAACTCGCAATTTACTGAAATTTCAGAATAAGACCATACAAGTATGGTCATTTTTAGATCTTTTTCAGAGAGATACTTTCAAATTCAGTTAAGAGGATTGTGAAACTATACATTTTCATTCAAAAAGCCATTCCGTGCCCTCCACTCCCCCCCCCCTCCTTCTCCCCCCATTAAAATAGTCTAATTATCATGATTTTTGGAAATGTTGTAAATATAATGAAAATCTAGGTCCGTACGTTTTTATTTTAAAGAAATATTGCGTATGATTATGTTATTAGCATTTAAATATCTGTACTTTTGACATAAGAACTTCCTCGAGCGTTTTTTTTTTATTAAACTAAACTGAATTACTACAAAAAAGTACAGATCTAGATTAAGGTGGACCTAATCTAATGAGACCAAAATTGTCTCATTTCGTAAACATTTAGGGAGGTGAAAACGTTATCGAACGAAACAATATTTCTAACAAGAAATGTAGGTGATTGCCTCTAAAATTTGCAACTCTCTCTATCGCACCATACGGGTTGACAGTGAGCGGTATGAAACTGATAGCATTTTTTTTAAAACCTACTTGCGCCGCGTATCGACACCTGACAATCCTCTTAAGAATTTCAGAGATTATTCTCTACATACAAACAAACAAAATATAGCACAATATATTGTAAGATTCAGTTTGCTTATGATATAACTGCTCAAAAGATATTTTCATGTAAATCAAAACCGATTATATAACACTATACATAACATCTCTAACTTGTAATACTATGTTATTAGTTTATTCAATAACGTACAACAAATGTGTGTTAAATTTTTATGCTAAGCTTGTTTTTGCCCGTGACTCCTCTCGCAGGACTAAAGCAGCCTATATAGTAGTAGATTATATATACTAGCCACTTATCCTTCGGGTGCATCCCTAGGTAGTAGGTAGGCAGATTTGGTTCACAATTTCAAGTGTTTTTATTTTTTAAGCGGAACCCCATTTTAAAAAAAAAATTGCCTAAGTTACTCCTTATTAGCTATCTCGCTCCAATATTAGCTATCTGCCAGTGAAAGTCTCGTTAAAATAAGTCTAGCCATTTCGGAGATTAGCTGGAATAAACAGACAGACAAAAATTTTAATAATTATGTTTTTCTTATAAGTACCGTATATATTTTCATATGTATTTAGTAAAAAGCTGGGTTGACATAACAAACAGACACTTCAATTTTAGCTGTTGGGGGCTCATTGGCATGAGGTGGCCCACATCAGTGTGTGGTGTTCCATGCGGGTTGCTCCTGGTACTTTTCTGATAACAGAGTGGACCGTGGGGGCAACCCCATGGTCGTTGTGGTCTGCTTCGGCAGACCTGCTTCGGGGCGTCGTGGTCGAGTGCGTAAGCGATCATGTGATGCCCTATTAAGACGGGGGAGGTTCTGTTGGGTTTTAGTGGGTAGTACTGGCTTCTCTAGCCGGTGAGCCCCACATAACCACCTGTATGTATACAGGTGGTATGTACAAATGCATTTCCCAGTATTAAAAAAAAGAGATCATCTATCTGTGTAAGATATGTAATCCTTTGTTCAGTCCTTTTATTGCGAAGGAGCAACAAACATACACATAAACAAACTTTCGCTTTTTACCAAAACAGTGAAAAAAGATAATAAATATTTTTTATATGATATAATATAACAGAACTAAGCCGAGAACTTCTTTCACAAGGTAGTTCTAATGAGAGCCTCAATCAGACCGGAACAAACACATTAATTGTATAATAATGCCACTTGAATGTCGGTCGTGGACGCCTTCTTTACGTTTGATACATATAAATACTCGTACCTTTTTGAACTTGACAAGATGAATATTTAACATTTTAAATTACTATTTTTGTGGATTTTTACGCGGTTTTATTTTAGTTTTTGGTGAGAAATTGGAATGTTTTACAGCAGTTATGGTCACGGGAGAGAAAGCGAGTTTTTAGTAAGTTAAGTAAGGTTTTAGAGAAGTAAGTCACCTCACATCCCAAGTTTCAGAGTATAGTGTCGATAAATAATATGGGCGCGTCCCTAGGTGAGTCCCTATGTCTCGTTGTGGAGTCGGACAAAGAAGAACCATGTACTGTATGGGCGGTCAGCCTAGCCGGATGAGATACTCAGTTACCCTGAGAGAAACCCAGCTAAACGACCAGCGGCCAACAACAGCGATTCTACCCTATCGGTTACATAGTGATGTCCCTAGGGTACGCCTAAGGTTTTAGACGTCTCAAAGGTCGTTATATAGTTGTTACAGACAGTATCTACCCACAAAATTATACCATTAAATAGAATATAATCATCAATAAATAAGTATGTTGGGACGTTAACACACAGCACCATCTAGTTCCATGGTAAGCTACGAGGCCTGTGTTATTGATACCAGATTAATACGCTACACATAAATAACTTTAAATACATACCATACTATGAATATAAATACCCAGGACTGGAGTACAAACATTCGTACTCATCACTCAAATGAATGTCCCCAGCGGGACTCGAACCCGAGACCGCAGACACAGCAAGTAGGGTCACTACAAACTGAGCCAAACGTGTCGTCATGTTGAAAACAAAATGTAAACAATATTTTTTTACATAAACTTAGTCGAATCAAAACATAAAAAAATGCTAATGAGCGAACTTTAACCGTATTATTTTGCTACAAAATACTTTGTTGATATAAATGTGTGGGAATAATTATATTGATACTCACGTGGGATAAATACAGATTTTTTTTGAAGTTATACTTCTTTTGGTACGTTTGGAAAAAAATATTAGAGTAAAACTTTTACGATGCGCGCGCACACCGACAGCCAAAAAGCGACATGATGAAGTTAGCTGCATTCCTTTTCAACCGACTTCAAAAAGGAGGAGGTTCTCAATTCGACTGTATTTTTTTTTATGTTTGTTACCTCAGATTGGTCCCATTTAAATTTCTTTGGCTAAGTAATTAAAGCCTAGCTATTAAATACATATCTAATCAAATATTTTCGAAATCGGTGCCAGCCCATACGAAGCAAAGCACACCGACTTCGAAAATATTTGATTAGGTATGTATAGTAAATGAAAACTACCAATCAGTTATTTTTTACTTTTTAGTGCTTTTGTTTGAAGTCGGTTTTTATTTTTTTGTTAAAAAGTTTTTTACAAACAAAGAGTTGTGACATACGGGATGAAATCTTTAGCTATTTTTGTTCTGTTACGCCAAAGAAGTATAACTTACCACGTGCGTACATAAGTAAGGCGTGAAGGAGTAACAAACATACATACAAACTTTCGTTGTATGATGATTTCGTATATATGAATGAAATATTTTATTCGTACATTTATTCAAAATGAAAGTATCTACACTGCGTAAGGGGTCGCCTTTTTGTAACTTTCGGTACAAAACAAGTTTGAGAGTAGGTAATTATATCTCCAAATAATCAGGGCATGACCGATTTCGATTTGACTTTATATACTGTTATTAGGGTTCCGCACCCAAAGGGTAAAACGGGACCCTATTACTAAGACTCCGCTGTCCGTCCGTCTGTCTGTCTGTCCGTGTGTCACCAGGCTGTATCTCATGGACCGTGATAGTTAGACAGTTGAAATTTTCACAGATGATCTATCTCTGTTGCCGCTATCACAACAAATACTAAAAAACAGAATAAAATCAATATTTAAGGAGGGCTCTCATACAACAGACATGATTTTTTTGCCGTTTTTATAGAAAATGGTACGGAACCCATCGTGCGCGAGATCGACTTGCACTTGGCCGGTTTTTATTCATTTTAATGTCCGATTTAGGACTTTGTAGTTTGTTCAGTTGTCAAATTACAGTTCTCTTTACGGTCTTATTAGTCTAGCGGTTAGTCCGGATTTAGAATGGGAGTATTTTATAGTATTGTGTTTTTCTATTAAGAATATCTTAATACTAGCAGAATCCGCGGCTTCGCTCGCGTTTAAACTACAAGAAAAACCCTTTGGTTTGCTATTTGTAATAATGTATGGAGGTTTGCCCGATTTGTTGACATTGGTAGTAGCATGATGATATATAGCCTATTATAGCCTTCCTCAATAAACAGGCTATCTAATGCAAAAAGAATTTTTCAAATCGGGTTAGTAGTAAGATTAGCGCGTTCAAACAAACAAACTAACGAACTAATACCGGCTTCGATTTTCCAAATCGGTTCAGGCGTCTTCGAGTAGTCCATAAACACACACATACACAAAAAAAATACATACAGAAGAACATCTCCTCGTTTTTTGAAGTCGGTTAAAAAAGTTAATTATTACACTAAGTCTTAATGACTTTGTTACAAATACACAAATTACAAACTCACTCACTTTCCCTCTTTGTATTACTAGTTTAGTTTTTTAGAATTAAACTTTTACTATACCAACTTTATTATTTACTATTTTTACCCCGCGGCGGCGCTTTGTTTATAATATATGTAAAACTCGTCAATAGCTACTAAATAAAACAAAATGTCCGTCTTTCTGTCTCTGTTAGACTCATTTTCGTGTAAAAAAACAAATAATAATAATATTTATTCATTTCAGAACCACCACGATGGGGCACAAACAGTATTTAGCGGTGGGGCAGTCAGCTAGGAACAGGCTTTTTGGGATACCCAATAAGAAGCCAGTGCCACTCAACATGCTGATATCACAACAGGGCAAATTAAATCATGGTAAGTCTTCTCCCTATTAGAATAGATTATAGAATATCTATACATATAATAAAATTGTAACTAAGCCGAATCTGTACATTAGATATGTTTTCGAAAATCTTATTGAAATAGACATTATTATCGATACAGAGGCCGAATCTAAAGTTTTTAGAATTTTTGTCTGTCTGTCTGTCTGTTACCGCATAACAGAAAAACCACTTGAGGGATTTTGATGAAATTTGGTATGATGATAGCTGGTTATCCGGGTCTACATATAGGATACTTTTTACCACGGGAAAACGTCTCATTTCTGAGAAAAAATACAAAAACTGCAATGTAGGAGTATACTTAATATGTAAAGCCTAAGAATTTGGTTTTTGGTCATCTAAACCGGCAGAGCCGCGGGCAATTCTAGTTTATAATATAATTTAAATGCGAAAGTTTAGATGCATGGATGTTTGTTACTCACACCAGAACGGCTGAACGGATCTGGATGAAATTCGGTATGGAGATAGATTATAGTCTGGCATAGCAATTAGGTTTTTATCCCGGAAAAATGTACGTTTCCCGTGGGATATCTGTACTAACCGTTATCATAATGCGTACAACTAAACTATATGTCAGTTAGTCAGTGAGTGTTAAAGTTTTATTAAGATTATAAACATAATAAAGCAATAGGTAGTATTAAATTTTAAATAATTCTAAAAGATTCTAAAGAATTTACTTATAACAAAACAAATACACTCAAACGTACAAAAGGAAAAAACACACGACCTACTAAATGTATGAAATATTAACTGAGCGTGCAATTTTTGTGCAATAATCATAATGCCGCATTTTCGTAATTTATTATTGTATGGTACAATTTCAAATTTAACATTTGCTATCTTTATATATTTTTTTGTACGTGTGTATGTCACTGTGCTCTTAAACGGCTGGACCGATTTTGATGATTTTTTAGTGTGTTTTTGAATGGGTCTGTGGATGGTTTAGATTCACAACTGGACCCGATAGATGTCGCTGCAGTCGGTTCTAGAATTTTTTTACTAGTGGACCCAAGCCAACTTTCGGTCGGATCCGCTAATATACATACATATTATAATAATTTTAATTAACATTGTAATAAAATTATTCTAACGACGTTGGTTTTCCACAATTTTTTTTTTATAATGACGTAGTCGTGGAGAGACAAAAGGTTTTTGACGTCTCAAAAGTCATAGTTAATACACACTGTGTACCCACAAAATTATACAATAATATGGAAGAAATAGATGATATCGTAATATCTTATAATAAAAAAAAAACTAAATCTAACGCGAAAATATTCGCATGAATGATGTTCTCCTAACCGATTCCGGCCACGGCGGCCAATCTCATTGAGACTAGCCAACTGCGCAGGAGATATTATAGTGCTCAAGTGTACGCGCAGACACAACGTGCACTCTCTATTCCTGTCACTCTCATACTCCGGTGGGACGACCACTCGACACGATCAGTGAGAGTTAAGGCGCAGGACCGACGGCTTTACGTATTCTCCGAGGCACGGGCGTAAAAACCGCCAACTTCCCAACTCCGGGCTGTTACTGAGGCTCACTATACAGAAAGACTCAATAACTAAACTTGGCCCGATCCGGGACTCGAACCGAGGATCTCCGGGTGAGCAGCCGTACATGCTAGCCACTACACCACCGAGGCAGTTAAAGAGAGTTTCGCATGAATAATTTTATTATAGCGTATATTCGCGTAAATTACAGAAAGTCTCTTTTAATTAACTTTCGCTAAGTCGTAATAGCATATATGTGACACTGAGACCGCGACCATGATGGTGGTTGAACACACACAATGTGCGTCTCAAAAGTGTCCTTAATAAGACGTGCATATATATTTACTTAAAAGAATTCGAAACATCGGGAACCAAAAATCGAAATAAATCCGCGAACAAATCCAAAAATAAAGTTTTATTTAAAACTAGCATTGCCCGCGGCTCCGCCCGCGTTCAGATGATCAAAAATCAAATTCTTAGGTTTTTCATATTAGTATACTCTTACAATGCATTTTTTGTATTTTTTTCTCAGAAATGAGATATTTTCCTGCGGTAAAAAGTATCCTATATGTTGACCCGGATTACCAGCTATCACCATACCAAATTTCATGAAAATCCCTTCATTGGTTTTTCCGTGATGCGGTAACAGACAGACAGACAGACAAAAATTCTAAAAACTATAGACTTAGCCTCTTTATCGATAATAATGTTTATGTCAATAAGATTTTCCAAAAAATATTTAATGTACAGATTCGGCTTAGTTACAATTTTATTATATGTATATAGATATCAATTATATGCGTAAATCTAAGAAAGTATTTAACTAATTAGTTAATTTAAACCAAAGTTTAATTACATTTCACTTGTTCTATATACGCATTCAGAATTACCGTTACGCTAAGTGCTTATAGTTCAGCCAGTCACAAAAAACATATAAAAAAAGTTTCTATTGAATTTTATCATACTTAATATGTAAAATATATCTATACTAATATTATAAAGAGGTAAAGTTTGTGAGTTTGTGACGTTGTAGGGGGTAATCTTTGGATCTACTGACCCGATTTAGATGAAATTTGGTAAGAAGACAGTTTGAGACCCTGGGAAAGACATAGGGTAATTTTTATCCCGGAAATAGTACCTTAAGAGGGTGAAAATGAAGATGAAAGTTTGTATGGGGAATCTGCCTACGGGTGAACCCGAGCGAAGCGATGGTGAGTCGCAATTTTTGTATAAAGCTTTTTGTTTATACTCCCGACAGTTATAATCATATTTATAACTTAACTGATACGTGTGTACGTATTGCTTACGTTCCATCCTGTAGGATACAGACAAGATACAAAGTATCCTATATCTGTAAATTATTTTTAACTAGCGGCTTAACCTGGCTTCATTTGAGTGTGTTCCTAGCCGATAAAGAAACTCCACGACCATATTTTTCAACTTCAATTAAATTTATTACGATTTCTGCCAGTAAATATATTTTTATGGAAATAAAAATAGCATATCGCACTCGGCGGTAATATAGCTTCTTACTTGTGAAAGAATTTTTAGGAATGGTTCAGTAGTTTCAGAGATTATCCCCACAAATCCAAACTTACAAACTTTATCTCTTTATAATATACTAGCGACACACGCTCGTATCACTCGGGTTCGTCCCTACGTAAGTTTTAACGGTTAGTATGGAATATTTAGACTATATATTTATTATATGACATGTTTTTCCGTGAGAGTGAAATAATCTCCCGCGATAAAAAGTGAACAAACAAACAAACAAACAAACAAACACACTTTCACATTTATAATATTAATATGAATACTAACTAGAATTAATATATAATTTTCCGTTACTGTACTATTTTTTATTAAAACGCCTCTACCTATGAAACCGCTTTCGCTTATGCCTTAAACGTGGATCACGCGATTCCTAAACATGCAGTTTGCACTCCACTAGCGTCATATTACGCAGGTTTTGCATTTCATAATAATATATTTGACGAATATTCTTTGTTATAGAATTAACAAAATTTAACATTATAGATCGAGAGACGAATGATATTTAACCTCTCTTTACGTTTAGGAACATGTTGAGTTAATCTATATAAATTAATCTAGCCTTAACATAAGTCAAACACAATATCTAGATTAATGAACGTAATAAAATTAAAAAAAAAACAGCATTCATCTCAATTAATTGCTCAGCAAACTTATTATGAAACTTTCAGATATGTTACTTTTACTAATTTTTTTTTTTGGTGATAAAACTAGAAAAAATTTGAAAAAAAAAAACAAAATAACCGACTCCGTAAAAGCAAATAAAAAGACGAAAAAAGTTGACGTAGGAACATAGTATTATGCAGGGGTGTTGCAGTGAATGCGAAAGCGATCCTGCACGCCCCATTGCACTGCGGCGAAGGGTTCCGCTGTGGGTTTTAGTGAGTAGGAGTCTCACAGTACCCTGCCCATGACGGCGGCAGGGTCCCCATGATGGGTTTCCCCAGCGAAAACAAAAAAAAAAAAAAAAAAAAAAAAAAAAAAAAAAAAAAAAAAAAAAAAAAAAAAAAACAAAAAAAAAAAAAAAAAAAAAAAAAAAAAAAAAAAAAACATAGTATTATGCATTTGGAGAGCTGTCTTACGTTTCCTGCGAGTTTTGCTGGGTGCATGTTTGTCTTCACACATATGGGTTAAGCACATAACTCTCCTTTAGTCTTCGTTGCAGTCGGGTAAAAAGTTATTCTGTTAATATTATAAATCCGAAAGTTTGGATGGATGGATGTTTGTTACTCAATAACGCCAGAATTTGTCTTTGCCTATTTATATATGTATAGATTAGAAATAGCTACCCGCGCTTCATCCGCGTTCACACTTTCGTTATAGACATAATTCGTTGGCTTACTATTACAAGGTTCTATGTTAATTTTAATGAAGTTTACTAATTTTTATATAGAACTTCGTTATTTTGTTATCGTAAAAAAAACAACATAGAACTATGTAAAATTGAATATTTTGTAGTTAAAGTGCCGCTATCTAGGGGTTTGTTTTTGCAAAACTATAGCTAATGACACATAGAACCTTGTAGCATTAATAACTAAATAAGTACTAAAATTGTAACATAGAACCTTGTAATAGTGAACCAACGAATTATGTTGACATTTATGTTTACTGCTCTGCTCCCTTAAGTAGTAGCATGATGATATATAAGCAAACAAACAGACGAATGAACGAACAAACATACAAACCCTGTCTCTTTATAATATTAGTATAGATAGTCCGATTCGACACGCGACAAAAGACCTTCCTTTAGGAAGGCTGACACAAAGCAAGGACAAACTCGCTCGCTAGTACATAAACATATATTTATAATTATTTATCCATAATGCCTTAGACTATATACAAACTAATATGCTAATGCAATTTAATTACCATTACACGTGACAAGTGCTAATCTATACTTCTATCTATACATATAATAAAATTGTAA